AGGTTATACGTGATATAGAGTTGTATAGAAACCAATGAGAATTCCCTGGGAATTTTCTTGTCGCCAGCGCGCGCAGTTGACCATGTGCATATTTTCCAACACTGCCGGTAGTAAAAACGACTATAGTAGCCTAAGCTCTACTGTTGGGGACTGTCACCATGGATATGGTTTCGAAAAGAGAGGCGGTTCTGGCATGAACAGTGGCTTCTCGATGCAATGAATGTTGTGTGTACATGTCATTGTTTTTCCTATTCACACTATCGTCTCGTTGGAGTCGCTACAAGCCATCCACTTTTTTGGTGTGGCTCATTTGACTTTTGCATTCGTAAAAATTTCCGCGGGAAGTAGTAATTGCAATAGGAATTGTCGTATAGTCCTATGGTCAGTTTGTTAATCCTACTTACATGAGTAGAGATCTCGAGAGAGGATCCCCGACTGGCACGATGGAGCAGGGAGGAGCCTCTGGTATTAGAACTATCGGAACTCCATAGAATGTATCGTCGGCTTTCAGTCTCAACACTGGACGAGCCTATACGGGTTACTATCATGCGGGACGTCACTGCTGTGGGCCAGAAGTTGAAGTAAGCTCCTGAGTAGCTTCCCTCTAAATCGTAGTTGTTCGTGTGTTGGTCATGATCATTGCCGAGAACGGCTAGGACTTTATCATGCCAAATGGTAATGCGTCAATTTTGTAGAGATTTGTGCGACCAGGCTATAGTGAGGATGGAACTCGTCGTAGGTACGTGATGCTCCCACGAGCACGAGTAGAGGGTGGTGCCGGCCTTCGCAACTGGGATCTATGGGGTCCCTTGATGCTGTGCATGGCCCTATCAGTGGTTGGTTGCATCTAGCTCCTACCTCTTACAGTAGTACTGTTGCAGATACTAGCATTACAAGCACCAGACACGCAGAAGGGGTATGTGTTCTCTATGATATTCGTCATAGTGTGGCTAGGCTCGGCAGTGGTTACTGTCAACGGCGTCCTCATCAAAGGAAAGGTAGCGCCCCTTCCTTCTGGCATTTTACTATTTTTGTATCAGATTTCGTTCTTCCAGTCCGTCTGTGTACTGGGCTATTGCGTCTTCCCTCTGGTTTTATCAGCAATAGTTTGCTACTTCGTTAAGGACTACCAGATAGTGAAAGTGAGTAGCAGTCATCTCTCCACATTACATTGTTATTTCTGCATAGTTGCTCGTGGTACTAGCTGGATTCGTCTGGTCTACCGGAGCCTCAGTGGGATTCATGTCGGAGCTGGTTCCAGCGGATCGTCGGGCTCTAGGAGTGTAAAATTCCTTGGATGCATTTCGTCTCATGCTATGATATTCTCAGATTCCCAGTGTGGCTATTTTATGCAACCATCGCCTGGATAATTCTCCTCATCTAAGAATGCTTAGCTGTCCTATTTATACAACCTCTCTCCTTGTGCTATTGCGGTCGCGTTTTCTATCAATTAAGTGAAGTATGGCGACCTATCTGTATAGTTTTACACTTCAATGTATATGTGTTGACAGTAGACCATACAGTGGGTCATTCGGCGTTTCGGTTATCTAACCGTGGCAGTTCATTGCTACTCCATGTTGGCATTATCCTCCTTGAGCGTCAGACGATTGATTACTGTTGGGGGCTCACAGTTTTCGGCCTTCCCACACGTGTTCAAGAAGCCAACAGTGCCCAAGACAGCTTTCATCCATCCTGCTGCAGTCGTTGATGGCGATGTAAATGTTAATAGTAGTCCCATAGTCCCTCTATCGATTCTACTAGGTTCGACTTGGAGAGGACGTATCGATATGGCCTATGGCAGTTGTGCGAGCTGATGTTGATACTATTGTCATTGGTGACCGCACCAACATCCAGGTAGTGACTTCTTACTCGGTTAGATTTCACAGTAGTTTTATCACTGTGTCCGGTTAGAACTTCATTGACGCGTTTCTTCCGTTCAGAAGTGCCCCCAATTATGATGATAGTATCCATGATCCAACTTCCGTGTGTGTGCTAATCTATCGTCGTATCCTGGAAAACTATGCTCAAAAATACCACTCGTGTGGAGTCGTGATGACTAGGAAATCATCAGGAGTAGCTGTTCATTATGTCACTTCACACTCGCTCGGCCATGTGGTACATCATATTGTGGATGCTCCTCAGGACGGTTGTGTGTTACACGTCCGTGGAGATTTCTATGGCGAACAAGAAGGTATGCAGCTCATCATCGGGGAAGATGTCAGCATCGGTAGGAGCCCTTTCCTCATCTACCTCGTATACTATCCTGCCATTAGGCCATGCTGTAACTCTCCATGCTTGCCGTATTGAGCCACGCACTTTAATAGGCATTGGCTCGATCATCCTGGATGGAGCTGTGGTGAGGAAAGACATCGTTATCGCTTGTGATCCCACCACATGGTGTTCTCTAGGTGGAAGAGGGTACGATCATGGGAGCTGGCTCACTACTACCCCCTGGGAAGGTAGCTACTCCCGGACTGTGGATAGGCAATCCGGCTAGGAGGTTGAGGGACTTGAAGGACAATGAGAAGGAGCTGGTCAAATATAACGCTGCCAACTATGTAAGCAGTTGCTACACATTGGATCAGTAGTTGTCTCAGGTCAATCTCAAGAATGCGTGGGTGGAGAAAATGCGATTAGATACCGCTAACGCGTGAAGTTGAGTACGAAGATATCACATATGATTCAGAGTTTTTGTCAACTAACCCTAGTTACCATTTTCCCCTGCTGGTGTTGAGTTATTCTTATCATGAAAATACGTTAATAATATGCCCTATACATGAGAATTTCGGGTATAGGGTGTAGAATTTCCTGGTCGCGTTCTGATAGAGACACACTCTGTCTTCTTGAACAGTGATGGGCACAAATGGGTTAATCATGGGTGGAAAGCAAGGCTTGTCATTTGCCACAATGTTTGAGGGTATCCAGCACTAACATTAATGAAAGAGTACGGGTGCTCAGCATAATCAAACTCAGCGATGTTTATCGCGTCAGAAAGTCCCAACGATTCATCCCGACCATTTTTCCCAGAAATTTTCACCCGTGTACTCATATCGGTCACAGGACTACGAGGAAGCAATCGGAGTTACTAACTCCGAGTTAGCCAGAATCACATTCCCGAGATCGATTTGCCCATAAGCTAGCCTAACACACGAAGAACACTGTAACACAATTCGTGGAGTTGTACAGAAAATTAATTTCTTTCTTCGATGCTCACTCGGCTGTTTCCGAGCTTCCCCATTTTACTAGCTAGATTGGAATCCTCAGCTGCGTCACTAAGTGTATCACTTCCGAGGTCGACGCTTCTTCTTGGCCTTCTTCACAAGAACGGCCGCCGATAGGTCATCCAAGTCGTCATCATCCGGTGCCGCCACTGATAGAGTTGGTGCCGGCGTCGTGGCTCCAGCAACGTCAGGGGCACCACCATCCGACTGCTGGGTACTGTACATGGTCGCAGTGGGAACATCAGGAGGTGTCGGTGCGGATGGTTCCAGAGAGGGTTCCTGAAAGGATAAACTTTTATGTGAGATTATCACTCTAATGAAGATTATCGAGCAGTACCTCCTCACCACTGTCTCCGGCTGGCCTGGAGTCAGTAGTAGCTCGGTGCTCTGTGGGAAGGTCTAGCTCCATGGGTTGAGGTATCTTTAACAGCGGTTTCTAATGCAGTAAAGAATTCCACAGGCTTACTGCCAGATGAGCGAGGCTTCGTTTTCGTCGATGTTGTCTCTCTTGGGGTGAGATATCATTATCAAAATCTACCGCCAGTCCAGAAGAGGCGTATTTGTGATGGATGTCAGCTTTGTGTACGTCGAAGCGGGTATGCTCATCTATGGCTAGCTAAGATAGCACGTGGAATATTTCGTTAAAGTAGCGTTGGATGAGCTTACCTTCTCATCGATTAGAGCGGTGACTTCCTTCACTCGAGCCGTAGCCAGTCGGATAGCTGGCATGAGATCTCTATGCAGCATGAGTGATGCTCCTCCGGACTTGAGTGCGCCGCAGAGTTCTCCATATTGGTTCATGACAACCTATTACGGGCCGTAATTTATGGTTGATTCTGTTTGGAATATGAGTAGACCTGGTATTACCACTAACTGGCCGCCATCACCTTGAAGACTTTCTTCCAGACTGCTAGGGTCGGCTAGCAGCAGTGGATTCTCACCAAGTGATGATGGTATTGAGGCGAAAGTGACGGGTATTGGCATGTGATGCACCGACAACGGTATTGGATCTAACTGAACAACACTTGTACGGCGAAGAGCTTCCCCCATCAGACGTACATCAGGCTTGTAGATGATCTCCCCGTTCACAACAGACACTTCAGCTCGTCTGTAGTGGCGTAGTGCTACGGTGCTTGCTATGGCGGCCGCGTCGCCAACGTTACCCTGAGAAATACCCTGAAAAATCATGAACGAGTCGTGTTGACTCACGTTGTCACTGAGTACATGCACATCTAAGCGTAGTTCCCACACCAGGGAACCGCTCTGGATACATAGGGCTTCTACATCCACTGCGCTGAGAAAAGCCTTTCGACTATATCGGTACTATGTGGACCCACTTGGAACCCTTGAGCATTCGCTCTAGTTGATTGCATAGAGATATTCCCTCTGGTGTTTGGGCGCTCCCAACGAGACCACTCGAGTTACCAGAGGGAAGAACTGCCGGTGCAGCCATTGGGCCTGCTTCTACGTTTATGCTGAGACGACCCTCCCTAGGACGATTGCTCGGTGGGCTCGTGAGCTGACCTAAACCCGACCCTGTCTTAATTGCTGGTCCACGAGCCACCTACCAGTAACCACAGCCCTTATTCGAGTCTTGCCGATAGAGCATTCAGCCTGACCCAACGCTGGGCCTAGCCGGATGTCCATTGTCCGAAACTCAAACGCGCTCCTCCCATCTGCACGTGTGCCCGTATGGAATAGGTTCTGGCTTAAGAATATCTCATCAGACAGAGCGAGGGACATAGTTCAGTAAAGCGGCATTAATCAATCTAGAGCATTGTAACCTACGATCAGGGTCTCACAACTTGTAAGGGCGTCTCCGGTTTCCCACATGTCTACGTGCTCACATGTATATCATATGTGAGCAAGGCCTGTGAGCCACCCTCGTCGGTACATATCCTCACTGAGCATATGTACCAACGAGGTTTGAACCCCCTAACTTTCCCATGGGAGCCGACCTCTCCAACCAATTCGCTAAGATTTCGATGCGGATACGGCGCTGATTGAATCGCTATGTCCGGGTCATTGTGTGGGGTCGCTATGCCACAATATGAGCCACAAATTCGGGGCTACTATGCCACGCTGTAGGGATCGCAATGATATTACTATAAAATGGGGCCCCTATGCCACTACCTCGGGTTCGCGATTCCATACTCGAGGAACATCTTTCTCTATCTCCAACTGGATAGAACCATGTCTCGCTTCCCAGCATCGAAAGTTGACTAGTCGGCAGATGTCAGCGCAGAACGGCGCATGGCCTCCTTGGTTACGCTTCCAGGATCGTATACAAGGATGTCGAGCTAGGCCGCTGCAACGCGTCGCTTCGCTAAGAACGCAAGTTTGGTTGCGCACTTTCATCGCAAAAGTTCATCTTATGTTCTTCTTGAGGTTATATCGGTGAAATCGTTACTGGCTGGTTCTCTGTCCACGCTTACTATAGATCGTACGACGGGAGGTAGGAACGCAATTATGGATAGTATGACAATCTATAAGGTTTTAGCACTGCTGCCTCTTGAAGTAGATGGGAATAGGTACTCAACCCAACCGGATAGGCCTTGAGAGCAGCTTATCCAATTCTTCATATACTTAAGAGTGTTCCACATGAATAACACATGAAACGGTTCATGCAAGATGTGCATGAAGATACTCATACAAATATATACCGTGCGCAACCAGGGAGGGGGATCCTCCATGGTCCCCCCCCAGAGAAAACGATAATGTTCTCGGAAGGAGTGGATGCGCAATGTGTAGAGACGAAGAGAAGAGTAGAAAAATGGCCCCACGGTGGGTGCCAATGAAGTAGATGGGAATAGGTACTCAACCCAACAGGATAGGCCTTGAGAGCAGCTTATCCAATTCCAGGGAGGGGGATCCTCCACTCTCCCTTGGTAAAGGGGACCGACAAGACAACACATGTCAATCAAGGTGGCCCACGATGAGAGAGTGGATGGAAGAGACGCCGCGGATGGTACTTGAGTGGTTTGACTGACGAAAGTCGTTCATGGACGTTTGATCAGATCCCCCTTCGCAATCGTCAAATGACATTCATGAG